TGTTTGATACCAATCTATAAAGTCCTCTTTAGACCCACGAAACACATGCAGTGACACTGAATGCAGGACGGCCACAGGCCCGTGGGTAGAACGTCTTTGGATCCAGTGGTGTTGTAAGCATCTCAGTGCTGGCAGGGGTCTCTACGTGGCTTCTCCAGCTCCAGAGGTCTGGTTGCATCAGGGTAGATCCATGTGACTTCTCCAGCTCAGGGCACTAGTTCCATGTGTCTTGTCAGCTGCAATGTCTCCCAGGGAGTGAGCAGATAGAGAGAGATGTCTCCGGCCTTCAAGCAGGAAAGACAGGATTTCCCAGAATTCTCAGGAGAAGGCCATGCCCACACAGAGACCTCATTGGCTATGATCTGCTTGACAGACTAGACTCCACCCCTTCACTCTTAATCCTCTCAAGTCCCAAAGTAACACCAGATTATGTAACTACCACATCCATTACACCCTGTTGGGTAGCCACTGTGTCTCAGGCCTGGCCTGTTGCTTTACAAACACCACCTCGTCCCATCCTGACTGTAATTCTGGAAGGCAGGTCACATCACCCCATTTTTACGAAGAAGATTAACCACAGCCCGAGGCTGCACACCTGGGGAGTAAGCCAAGCAGGGATTCCTAACCTGGGCGAGGTGGTGGCACATCAAGGCGGCAAAGATTCAGTGGAATTCCCTAAAGCCTGTGTTTGTATTTGCCTCTTCCTGGATGGGAGGAACAAGGGTAACTTTCACAGTCTCTAATGACAAACTGGAAAAGGAGCCACTGAACTCAAAGGCATACCATAAGTGCGTCTGTTCCCCGCACCCCATGCTTCTCTTGTGGCTGTCTGTATCCCTGCCATGAGGGGAATGGATGTCTGGATGCAGGCTCGGAAACCAGAGGCAGTTCTACCCTGTCCCTACGAGGTGGTTTGGACTCGATGGGAGAGGGTTTGAGGGACACCCGGGTGACTTGATCCCATTAGAGCTTTGGTTCTGGGGGATGGAGATAGGCAGGGGTAGGGTCCGTGTTCTGCCGAGAGAGGAGGGGGCCCCCGAGGGCTTGGCCATGTGTGGCGATGCCCAGGACCCTGGAGGCACTCACAGGCTGGGACAGGAGGGAGAGAGCAGGCAAGGCCGCGAGGCTGCTCTGTACAGCTGTTGGCTTCTGTTTGTCTGACAAACCACGTGCCCACGCATTGCCTCTGGGGAGCTAGGCCACTGGGCACTGAGCTGCTTGTTCACTGGGAGTCCTTGCTGATCGCTTTGCTTCTGTTTCCTACAGATCATGATCGAGTTCTGTCCTGGGGGCGCTGTGGACGCCATCATGCTAGGTGAGTCTTCCTGGGTCCAGTGTGTGGCAGGGGCCCTGGGTGCTCCCTCCGGGAGCCCTCACCCCACCCCGTAATCCACACAGCCTGTGTGAGCACCTCCCAGCATTGTCTCCTTTGGGAGAAAGCAAACTGCTTGTTGGACGAGCAGCAGTACCCCTTCACGGCCTGTGGAACGGGTCACTCACCTCAGGTTCCCTTGCCCACCCCCTCCCCAGCACTCTTACGGGTTAAAAGGAGAGAGCCGAGGGAGGATATTTTTGAAAATGGGGATGTTTTGTAAGTGACATGTGACATGTCAGGTCTTGATGTCCCAGGCAACTGTGAGCACTCAAAAGCTCACTGCATCGAGTCCGTGCTGACTCACAGCAAGCCCCACATGAAAGGGTAGAACGCCCACATGAAAGGGTAGAACTGCCCCTGTGAGCCTCCGAGACTCTAACGCTTTACTGGAGTAGAAAGCCCGTGTTTCTCCCAAGGGGTAGCTGGTGGTTTCAAACAATAGACCTTGTGGCCTGCAGCCCAATGTGTAACTGCTACACCACCAGGGCTCCTCCACTTGAGCACTAGCAAGAGGGAAAAAATAGTAAGCACCACTGTGTTGCGTATTTTCACCGTGTGCCAGAGATCATGAGCATTTCCGTCATGTGTGTTACTTTTAATCTTCACATATAAAATCTGGAAGAAGAGCTCTGATTATTCCTTTTGGGGAGGTGGGGGAGGGGCTCTGCATAACTTTTTTTAAAGGGTTAAAAAAATCAGCATGTTCTTAGGCCTCTACTCAAGTACTCCCTCACACTTTGTTCTGATAACCTGGCATCCTGTGATGTTCACCTTCCCTAACAATCACTGAAGACAAAGCTGGTGCATAAGCAAATGTGGTGAAGAAAGCTGATGGTGCTCTGCTATCAAAAGATATAGCATCTGGGGTTTTAAAGCCTTGATGATAAACAAGCGGCCATCTAGCTGAGAAGCAGCAAAGCCCACATGGAAGAAGCACACCAGCCTGTGTGATCACGAGGTGTCAATGGGATCAAAGACCCAAAACAAAAAATAATTTCAATGTGAATGAGGGGGAGGGCAGAGTGAAGACCCAAAGCCCATCTGTAGACACTTGGACATCCCCTCAAAGAAGGGCCACAAGGAAGAGACGAGCCAGCCAGGGTGCAGTATAGCACCAACGAAACACACAACTTTCCTCTAGTTCTTTAATGTCCCCCCGCCCCTGCTAACATGACCCCAATTCTACCTTACAAATCTGGCTAGATCAGAGCATGTACACTAGTACACATAAGAGCTGCAACACAGGGAATCCAGGACAGATAAACTCCTCAGGACCATTAATGAGAGTAGCGATACCAGGAGGGTAAGGGGAAGGTGGGAGGAGAAAAGGGGAACCAACCAATCACAATGATCTACATATAACCCCCTCCCGGGGTGGGGTGGGGTGGGGTGGTGGACAACATAAAAGTGGGTGAAGGGAGACAGCGGTCAGTATAAGACATGAAAAAATTTTTATAAATTTTCCAGGGATCATGAGGGAGGGAAGTGGGGGTAGCAGAGGAAATGAGCAACACCAAGGGCTCAAGTAGAAAGAAAATGTTTTGAAAATGATGATGGCAACATATATACAAATGTGCTTGATTGGATGGATGCATGGATTGTGATAAGAGCTGTAAGGTTCCCCAATGAAATGATTGATAAACAAATAGGAAAAAACCCAACATGTTCACAGACCTTCACACGGACTATTTAAAAGGGAGCAGTGAGCGGCACTGAGCACATCACGCTGTGCTGTGACAGCCCCTCAGCCGAGTCCCGGAGCCCCGCATTGCTCTAGAGTAAAAGCCTCCTGTCCACTGGGCTCGTGTCTTGGTGCTGCAGTGACCAAGGCCACAAGTGTGCGTGGCTGTCAGCAGCGGACTGTCTCATTCTGAGGCTGGAGGTTCAGAGTCAAGGTGCCAGCGGGGCTGCGCTCTCTCTGAATCAGGCTCTGGGAGAAAAAGTCTCCTGCATCTTTCTTTTAGCGCATGGAGTTGTTGGGAGCCCTCAGCGTGCCTTGGCTTGTCGCTGCATCACTCTGTCTTTGCCACCACTGCCATCACATGGCGCGCTCTGTGTTTGTCTTTCTCTTCTTCCTGTACAGACACTGGTCCCACTGTGTTAAGGACCTGCCCTGCCGTTCCAGTAGGACCTCTTCTTACTAATGACCCTATTTCTAGATGAGGTTGCACTGGGAAGGACGTGCCACGAATGCCACTGTGAGAATGGCGTAAGAGTGGCCACCTGAGGTCCTGCAGCTTTAAGTGAGGCAGAGAACCAAGATGATGAGCTCACCCCTGATTGCTCCGAGATGGAGTCAAGCAGCCCTCCACCCTGCAGCCTTATCACCCTCCATCCTGCAGCTGCCCCGCCCACCACACTCCCACTCCCACTTCTGCTGGGCCATCATTCGTGGCCACACTCCCAGGTGTGATGTTTATCAGGGGAGCAACAGGTTAGAATTAAGGACCAGAAATGAACCAGGATATGGATTTTCCATCAGAACAGTACCTTTTCAGCTGTGCTTACAGGAATGCCTCTCTGGCCCTCAGCCCCTCAGCCTCAGACTTAGGCAACAGTCACAAAGCTGTTTAGCTCTGCCAGTAAGTACACAGGGGATGCTGCTCTGCGCCCTAGCCTATTGTTCAGCTCTCTGTTTCTGTGGCTGGGTTAGCACACCTGCTGTGGCTGCCTTGCTCTGTGCAGAAGCCCTCTGCAGCTACCTCTGGCTAGTCTCCTGCTGCTGCCGCCACCGCCGCCGCCATGTCTATCCTGTGTCAATACCATTTCTCACCTTATCTGTTGCTACAGCTCTCCCTGTCTACTGCATCTGGAGATTCTCGGAGCAGGCGACCAGGGTCCAAAGGACAGACTCACTTCACTCCTGGTTCTTGCTCTGGGTGGTAGTGAGAGGCCCCTCCTCTTGCTGACTGAATTGGCTTCCTTGAAGCAAACCAGAGGAATCCCTGGTGGGACAGTGGTTAAGCACCTGGCTGCTAGTCAAAAGATGGGGGTTGCAATTCCTCCCACCCTTCTACGGGAGAAAGGTGAGGCAGTCGACTTCCCAAAAAATTGCAACCTTGGAGCCCGAGGGACAGCGCTACTCTGTCCCACTGGGATGCTCTGAGTTGGAATCCACTCTACAGCACTGGGTTTCTAAGCCCAATGGGATGGCAAAACTGACCCACGCACCTTAGTTACATGGTCTCACTTCCACAAGGGTTCCATGTGCCTTATTTGGACTAGCAGGGCAGATCACAAGCATCTTATTGACATAGTCCCATTCAGTCACTTTGTGGAAGTCACTAGGTTACTTACCTTGCTTTTCAGCGGGTGCTGCTGAATCGGTTCTGACCCTCAGTACCCTGTGTAGAAACCAGAGAAAGGCGGCCTGGCCTCCCGTGCCGCGCTCACAGATGTCATGTGAGAGCCCCTCACTGGAGCCATGGTCTCAGTTCATCTTACAGAGATTCTTCCATTTTTCACTGTCCTTCCGCTTCACTACGAGTGATGTCCTTTTCCAGGGACTGGTCCCTCCTGATCATCTGTCCAGAGTACGTGAGATAAAGCCTCCCCATCTGTGCTTCTAAGGAGAATACTGGTTGTACTTCTTGCACGACAGACTTCTTTGTTCTTCTGGCAATCCGTGGTGTTTTCAGTATTGCTTGTCAGTATCATAACTCAAATGCATCAATTCTTCCCCAGTCTTCCTGTTCCTGTACAACTTCCATAAGCAGTATGAGACGACTGAACATACCATGGCTTGGGCCCTATTAGGTATTTTCCTATACCGCGGGTGTGAATTTGTGGCAAACACTGTTGAAGCCAGTATGCTCATTAGGCAGTCTCTCCCTTCTCTGCTCCTTTGAGCCCCCAGGAACCACCGATGTGCAGTCTATCTCTGTGGACTAACCTCGGCAGGATCTTCCCTCCCAGTGGAGATGTTCAGTGTGTGACCTTGTGAGACTAGCTTCTTTGGCTTAAGAGTATCTTTTGGAGAGAACCATCTTTTGTAGGCGCGCTGTTCCTTTTATGGCTGAATAATGCAGGAGGGTGTGGAATAGGTGGTTCATTGATTCCATGAACAACCGCCTCCTTAGCCATGAATGAGACCAGGAGAACTGGATGGTACCTGACTACCTTAGTGAGCATTTTGATCGAAGATCTTATAGAAGAATCTTGATCAAAAGGGGAAAAATGACAGGATTTCAACTTCTCATGGACTGTAGACTTTCTGGAGCATGGAAGCTGGACGAAGGCCTATAACTATTGCCCTAAGATGATCTTTAAACCGTAAAGCAGACATACCCCCTGACGTCTTCTTAAAACCAAATGGTAACTTAGCTTAATCAATAAAGAAAGTTTACCTTGAGCGTGGCCCTCTGAAGTACGGTGCGTATGGGATCTATTTGGCAGCAGCAACTCTAAAGGTTAGGTAGGAAACTGAGTAGACAGGGAGCTTATATTAATGAGGTGAAATGATTCAGAAAAGGAACGTGGAAATGATTACAAAACTTAATGTATGCCATCAAGGTCACTAAATGTTACCTGTAAAAACTGTCGAGTCAGTGTATGTGTTGCTGCGTGCATGTTCTCAACAACAGCCACAGAATCAGTAAGATTTTAAAAAAGAAAGTCCTTTGGAATACAGTTGTGCTCTGGATGACCACAAGTTGGAATCAACTCAACAGCAACTTGTGGTTTGAATGTCACACATGTACAGTGTCCTTGTTCTCATCCTGAGCTGTAGGAATTTGGGACCCACACGTCTTCTCTGCCGAGCCACATGCTGCTCCCAGTTCCCAGATGGATAAATAACAGTGGAGAGGAGGGCACAGGACGTGCATTCTGTTGCCCTTGGGTGTGCCTTCTCTCGGCAGAGACTGCCTTTGAAGAATATTATTGTTCTGGGTAGAAGCCAACGAAATAAAAACAGTAGTGTCGTCCAAATTAGTCTTCTCCAGGGGATAAAGGGCCAAAGATGGTTCAGTCTGGTTCTCACTACATTGCCACTCAGTACTTCCAAGGCCTCATCTACACCAGGAGGGCTGCTCACTGAACAGGTAGGAGGGTCAGGCCCTTCCAGAGGCACCTTGGAAGAAAGGCCTGGCAAATCTACTTCTGAAAAACTAGACAGTCGCAGTCCCTGGAACACAGTCTACACGCACCGCGTGGATCACCGGGAGGCAGGTCCTCTGCAGCTGGTCCCAGGCTGACACGCTCGCGCTCTCTGGTGGGGGCCTGCCTGCGGTGGCAATGTTGTTATTGGGGGCTGTTGAGTCCGAGACACCAGCTGGTGCTGCAGCGCCCCCACGATCGCTCTTAGGTTTGAGCCCCCTGTTGCAGGCCTGGTGTCGGGTCCATCTTGTGAAGGGGCTTCCTCTCCGTGAACTCTCCTCGCCAAGCATGAGGTAACATGCCCAGCGCATGGCCTCTACAGAGCACCTGGCTGTACCTTTTCCAACACAGACGTGTGCCATTTGAATGCATGGATTCACCTTCGGTCTGCCTTAGTTCATGTCCGACTGTCACATGCATGTGAACTGACTGAGCCCACGACAGTGCCGGAAGCCCCCCTGCTCTACGGGAGCTGGAGACCCAGACAGGATGCGTGACTCGCCAGGAAGCACACAGCTAGTGAGTGGTAGCGCCTGGGTTTCAGCTCAGTCAGCGTGGCCTGGCCCCAGCTGGGGCAGAGGTGAGAGAGGAGGCTGCAGGGAGGAACAACAGCCTGAAAGTCCCCCAGAGAGGCCCTGTCCTCTGGGTCTGGCTTCCCAGGGCACCAAAAGTGGCGCCTGCACTCCTGGCCCGCGTCTCTATATTTATCACCTCGGGGACCTGGGCACGGTGGATTCCCGGCCAGGTGCCCAGAGGGGGGGATGCAGAGGTGCTGTCTCGCCCAGGGTCTGTCCAGAGGGAGGCCTCGGAGCTGCTCAGGAGCATTCTGGCCATGCTTCTCAGGACAGGTGCGCTCTATTCCGGGGGATATGTCCGCTGTCCTTCATCCTGACTGCACTCCAGATGCCCCCGTTCTTCAGCCTTTCTGATTCGTTGTCCAACTCCAGCATGCAAACGAGGCCATTGAAAATACTGGGGTCACCTTCATCCTCAGAGCGACATCTTTGCTCGCTAACACGTTGTTCCAGAAGTCTTGTGCCGCAGATTTGCCCACTGCAATACATCGTTAGATGTCGTGACTGCAGCGTCTAGGGGGTTGATAGTGGATCCAAGTAAAATGAAATCCTTTCAAATGTCAATCTTTTCGCCATTTTTTTCTCCGTATCTGTCCAATCCTGAGGATTCCCACCCCTCCTCTTCCTTGAGGTGTAGGGCATCCTGAAGGCTGTAGTAGTTTTAGGGAGGAGTTTTTCTAAGACCTAAACCAGCGTGTCTCTGCTTTGCTTAGACTGTTTCTCAGACTGCCCAGCAGATAGAATGCAGCCTGCCTGCCCGGGCCCGATGATCCTTTAGCATCCATCCCTGCAGCCTTCTGCCTTCCCTTTCCCCTGTGGCTAACCCAGCTCCTTGATACATGGCCCCGTGCATGAAGCCCTCTCCCCCCGTCTCCCCCATCCATTTCCAGGCCTCAGGAAGGCCCTGGGGGAATGGAGGGCATGTGTGCCTGTTCTCCTGTGGGTGGCCAGCACCCAGGAAGCCCTGGGGACCAGTCCCTCTGGCCTCTCCAGCCTCTTTCATCTCTGGGGTTGCCAGAGAGCCATTTCCTGAACACCAGTTCCTTCCAGCCGCCACACTCTGCTTCTGCCAGCTCCTTGTCCTGGAATGCCCCTGCCCGTCTTTCCCCCTGAAGTCCCAATGTTCTCTCTAGACACAGCTCCAATGTGCTGTGTCCCCCAGACAGAGGACACTGCTACCCATCCCCCCAAACCCCTGCCGGCCCCTCTGTCCTGAGCACGGCGCACTCACTCAGTGCCTGCCAACAACCCAAACCAAGCCAATGGCTGTGGACTCGATTCCAACTCAAGGCTCCCCATTCGTGCAGAGTAGAGTGTCTCCTTTGAGTAGCTCTGGTGACATAGTGGTTATACAGTGGACTGCTAAACCACAAGGTCAGCAGTTCGAAACCACCAGCCATCCCATGGGGGATAGATAAGGCTTTTTCTGTTCCTGTAAAGAGTTGCAGTCTGGGAAACCCAGACAGTTTTATCCTGGCCTACGAGGTCGCTGTGAGTCAGAATCAACCGCATGGCAGTATGAGAACAACTTCAAATGGTTTCAAGGCAGAAGCCCTGGGTGGGTTTGAACCACCAACCTTTGGGTTAGTAATTGAGTGCTTAGCTGCTTGTGCCACCCAGAGAGCCTGCTGACAGAATAACTTTCTGACTTCCGATTGGGTGGCATTTACCAGCCCGAGCTCTACAGACTCCTGCCTCGCTGGTTTGAATCTCAGATCTGTGGCTCCCCACCTGCTCCCTCGAGCAAGTTACTTACCTCCGAGCCTCATTCTTCTCCTCTGTAAAATGGGGGTAGCCCTTGCTCCTGCCTCTCAGGGCTGCTGAGAGAAGGAAATGGGCTGGCACGCGTAAAGTGCTCGCAGGCAAACCATGCACACAGTGAGTGTCCTTGCTCGGCATTGGCTGGGCTGACGTTTAGCTACCTGGGTGTGTGCTGGACTGCCACCATCTGACTCTTGTCCTCTTGTCTGTTTGCAGAGCTGGACAGAGGCCTCACCGAGCCCCAGATTCAGGTTATCTGCCGCCAGATGCTGGAAGCCCTCCACTTCCTCCACGGCAAGAGGATCATCCACCGAGACCTCAAAGCCGGCAACGTGCTGATGACGCTGGAGGGCGATATCAGGCTGGGTAAGGCGCCAGCCTGCGGGCTGGGTACTGTGCATCCCCTGTGGACAAGAGGGAGCTGCCGATGACCCCAGGCATCCAGCAAGGTCACAGTCCCCCAACCCTGCTCTGGGCCCCAGGCGTGTCTCACCCCTGTGGTTCGGTCTAGACGGTAGTTCTCCCCTGGGCAGATGTAGCTCTCTCACGACGTCGGACCAGGTTGGCAGACAGTTGGGGTTGTCACACGGGAAGGGCTATGTGGTCCGCACCAGCCATGGCAACCTGGGTGTGTCAGAGTAGGGCCATGCCCCGTCCTTTTTTAGAAGTAGATCACCAGGCCTTTCTTCTGAGGCACCTGTGGGTAGATTCAAGCCTCCAACCTTTGGGCGAGCGGCTGTGCCCCATCACCCCATGGTGGAGACCGCCTGCGATTGCTGTCCAGCAAATGTCCACTCATCGCGACTCGGAGGTGAGTTGTAGGGTAGCCAGTGCAATTCAAAGCGGGGTCTTTCCGAAGCAGACCAGCAGGCCGAACTGCCAGCTTTTGGGTTAGTAGTCAGCAGCTAATAGACTGCTTCACCCAGAGAACCGTGTTCACCCCACCCCCAAATCTGGAACACACCCCAGAGCGTGGGGCCGAGGCAGAGGGAGTGTCCACTCCCACACTGCGTTGGCTTGTCCAGTTGAGACAACCAGAAAGACGTTGAGGGCTGCAGGAAAGTCCGGCACGTGGTGAGTGTGTGCAGCAGTGTTTACACACTGAACGGAGGGCTGAGAGCTGGGGTGGGGGTGCCTTCTAGACCCTGTGGTGCTGATTTGTGAAGTTCTCTTCCCTCCCGGGGCTGAGCCCGAGGCTGGGCCTGGGGGAGTGGTGATGCTGTCTGCGTGGGTCCCTGGAGGGACACCCTTGCCCAGTCTCCCTGTACAGTTCAGAGGCCTGGCAGAGAATGGCATCAGCAAACCTTTCTCCCAGCGAGCGTGTCCCCACGTGGAGACAGAACCTGCGGTTCTCAGCGGAGCCGGCTTAGAAAGAGAGACAGCGGGGTGAGCCGGCCGGAGCGTGGGTTCACATCCTGGCCCTGCCACCCTGAGCCGTAGGGCCCCGAGAAACGCAGTTAGCAGTTCTCCGCTCAGTGGTGTCATCTGCACAGTGCAGCTGGGGGAAGCCTTCCTCACAGGGTTGTTGGGACAACTGGATTGAAGTGTACAAAACCCCGTTGCTCGGAGGCCCTCAGGGCTAGCCCCTCTGCTGCTTCCTCGGGTTAAGGGTTTACCTCTGTCTAGGGGTTTCCGACTTCCTCTGAGAACCAGGTGGGCGTGGCCACAGAAAGCCCAGGTCCAGCTCCAGGCTCCAGCGAAGGAATCCATTTGTGGGAGACCGTGAGGAAGGCCCTCCGTGCAGAGCCAGTCGAGGTGCTAACCAGGGAGTGGAATAAAAACACTTCCTGCCGTCAAGGCAATTCCAACTCCTGGCGACCCTCAGGAAAGAGCCGCCCCTGTGGGCTTCCAAGACTGTCACTCTTTACGGGAGCAGACAGCCTCCCTTTGCTCCTGAGGAGCCGCTGGTGGTTTTGAACTGCCGCCTTCTCCGTTAGCAGCCCAACACGTGACCACTTGGGCACCAGGGCTCCTTGAGGTTGGAATAGACTCACATTTTAAGTCCCTGTTCGTATCCGCTGCTACCACTTGGCAGTTGGTTGACCTTAAGCAAATTCACTGAAGAGTCCAGAGATGACGTTTGATTGGACACAGCCGGGATGTCTGTGATGTTGATGACCGCTCCTCTAGGCGTATGGGTGACGGGTACCAAGTGCCCCACAAAGTTCCTTTCGGGCCCTTTGCAGAAACTGTTGACTAATTTAGACAAATCGCCTCCGTTTCCTCTGTTCCCAGGGGTGGGTGTGGCAGTGTAGTGTGGGATGGCCCGTGGTGTACCCAGTGCCCAGTCCCCAGGTGCGCCTGCTGCTGCTGGCGCCGACTGAGGGTGAGCGGCCGCGGTGTCAGAGCAGCCCTGTCCCCAGAGGCTTCAGCGGCTGGGTTTTCAGAAGTACGGTAGATCACCAGGCCTTTCTGCCAAGCTGCCTCAGGGTGGGCCCAACCCTCCAACCCTATGGCTAGCAGTCAGACATTTGCACCACGCAGGAGGTACCAGCACTGCAGAGTCCTAGGATGAGGACTGTTTCCGATAGAGTTCCTCACCTTCTCCACAGCCCCGGCGCCTGTAGGCAAACAGGGGCCCTTTTCCCAAGTCGGGCGGCAAAGGATCTTTTAGGCTCTTTCAAATTCCAAGCAGAGGTCAGATGGTAGTTTTAGTTGCCTTAAGAGTCAATGTGCCCAGCACAGAGCCTGGCAGGGGCTATGGCAGGCTGCCCACGTTATCAGGACGGCTTTGTTCCTGGCCATGTATCTAGTTGCCTGGAAAACAAAAGGAAAGAGGAACAGAAGCCTTATAATGAATGGTGGGACACTTCTTTCAGTCTCACGTATGCTTGTGAATCTGAGCCCCTGGAAAGATGAGGAAGCGGAGGGCCCAGAAAGGAGAAGCCACCTGTCTCAGGTCGCACTGCAGTCTCCTGCTTCCCTGCCTGTGCTGTTTCCCTGGCACCCGCCTCTGGGAGCATCCAGTCATCAGAGAAGTCACCTGGGGGCCCAGGTGGACACCTCCCTGTTAGCGAGCCCAGAGGTGTAGGGCCACCTCGGCCTGAGGGAGGAGGCCCGTGGGAGGGCGGGCAGGCCTGGACGCCTGGGCTTTCCTCCCCCACCCCAGTGTCAGAGAGCCATGCCCTCCTGGGCATCAGCTGTCCTATCTGTACCACAAGATACTTTTTTTGGTGTTTGTCTACAAGGCACTGCAGGCAATTTGGGTAGAATGGTTTTCTATGTGTGATTTCCCAGACTCCTGTTCACTAAATGCCCAGAGCATTCAGGCTCACTGGAATCCCCAGCTCACCCACCCTTCTCCATGCACATCCAGAGGCACGGAGATGCACTGTGATTGGGATAGGAGTCAGGGTCACCTCTGCCTGAGCAGGGCTGAGGCTGGACCAGTGTAGGGTTGGGGAGCCAGGGGAGAAGGCGGGCCACAGAACTGCATTTGGGCAGTGGCGTGGCCTTCACTTGCCTCAAACTGTCAGGTACAATGGTTCTCTCACTTTGGAGTCTCTCAGTCACCTGCGATTCTCTTCTCTATTGCCATCCATTCAAAGCCCACTGCTGTGTGCATGTGTCTGTATGTCCTGTAATGTGCACGGTTGCTCGGCAACATGTTAGGGATAGCATGTGCCGGCCGCCCTTCCAAGGTGGCACATACACATACAACCTCTCTCTCTAAGGGCAGAGGAATAGTCAGAGCCAGACGAACCGCAGTGCACGTGACCCTCACCAACCACGCTCCAACCACACTTTGGGTTGCGTCCAATGTTTGACTCGCTCACATGATGCTATTAGGAGCAGCCATAGCCTAGCCATCTCTTCTGAAGGATCCGTTTGAGGACATGGGTAGTGTGGTGGTAGAATTCTTGCTTTCCTTGCAGAGGTCCCTGGTTCGATTCCTGGCCAGTGTACCTCAGGCACAGCTAGGTGTTGCTGTGACGATGAGCATGTTTCAGTGGAGCTTCCAGACTAAGACAGACTAGGAACAAAGGCATCTGCCTTCCTTCCTTTTGTTTGTTTGTTTTGTTGCAGGGGGAATGGCTTGCAAAGATAATTCTATTGAATGACTCCCAGGAGGAAGAAAAACCTTTCCAGCCTGCATGGCCACTCTTGGTGTTTCTGAATAGGGAGAAAGCTCTATTTCTGAAAAATAAGTTGATGGAAACACTATAGATCATAACAGCCTGATCACCATTGATGGTGAACTCCATTCAATGGTGAACTGGGCAGCAGTTTGATTTATTGTGAATGGGGTCGCCTCCCGTGAGGGATCAAGTTGATGGCAGCTAACAGTCATGTTCCCAGACATAGAATTGTTTCAAGCATTTGGTTTACAGCCCTATTTTATTTATCTCTTTTCTAACATGTATGAATAGAAGAATCCTGGCCATGTTTGTCTGTTCATTGATTCCTTCGTAAACCATGTCAGACATCTGTTGTGGAAGAGACTATGCTGAGGGTATGGCTGTGGACAAAGCAGGGACCTTCTGGACATGACAGTATTATCAGGGGCAATGTCCTACCTCCCCAGACATGGACTCTGAGTCTTGTTTTAAAATGGAGGAAGGAGAGTAGTGACTTGGATCTAAAAGCTTAAAACTGTCTATCCGACATACACACGCCACCATTGTCCTCTGTCTATTCCAAACACAGAAGACTGAAAGCAACGGGAAACTCAAGCAGACGACGCACCCAGGTGCCCGTAGACCAGAGGCTCTGCAGCTATCAGGAGCCCGGGAGCGGACGGTCCGGCCACCACTACCAAGCCTCTAACTGGATTCACAGTAGAAGCTCCGGGACAGACTAGGAGATTAAGGCAGAACAAAAGTCACAGTCATTCAAAACAAAACCACCCCCAGACTGACTAGTCTGGTAGAGGCTATAAGATGACCAGACATCCTGCTTTTGGCGAGACAGTCCCGATTGTTAACAATTTTTCCTGCATCCTGCGGCGTTTTTTAAAAAGTCCTGATTTTTGGAAAGAATGCACGACAAGCGAGGGTATATGGTTTTCAGCTGCCATGTGGCTATTTTGCCAGGATATGAGTTTTATCAGTGGTGTCCCGCTTTTGTCCCGCTTTCCCAATGTGAACATCTGGTCACCTTACTGTCGTCAGACCTTTGCGATGGCAGCTCTAGATGCCTGTCAAGCCTGGAACTGAACCTACTCGCTGAGCTCAGTCAAGCAAACAATAGACAGGCCTATAAAGTAAACATTAACACCCACAGAGAATGTCCTCCTCAAAACAATCAATCCTCTGAGACCGGAAGGGTGGCTTTGCCTGGAAACACAGCTCCGAGGGCAGGAGGGGCCGGGAAGGTGGGTGAATGGAAGCAGGGAACTCGGGGACGTGGGAGGAGCACATTTACAT